CGTCTAGTATCGCAGAGGTCATTGGTTCGAATCCCGTACAAGCCTGATTTTTTTCAGGTCTGATTTTCGCTATTGCATAAATAGCGCTCTCTACTGCGAGGATCGTGCATCATACGTATTAGTTCTGATTCTATTTTTCTTTTTTTTTACATGCGCGGGATCAATACGGGAAATCCCGAGCGGGCACGATGTGCCTATCTTGCCGCTTGGTTAGCCAAACAGAACACAGGATTCTCTTCATCTTGCCCACGGGCGTTGCGAGCGATGTAATGAAACTAGTTACTGACCGCGTTCTTTTTTTTGCGTTTTTATCAGAATGCAAAAAAAGAACTCGACCAACTCGATTCAGCCATCTTGACCTCACCCTTGGTCAATAATGCATATCTATTGTGTTTTAAAAGACGATATCTTTACTGTGAATATGCTACATATACCTTCACACGTGAAAATAGTGTCCATGTTGCAACTGGCAAAGAGAAAAATTATCATGGTGCTTATCACTTTACCAGAGTGCTTATAATTCAAATAACACTTCCTTTGGCACGGCTTATCAATTTCCTCGATTGATATCATTACTTCCAATTGAATATTCAACAATATTAACAGATACAATGAATATATGAAGTCCATATATTTTGAACTGCGGTATTAAATATTCATGATGCACAATCCTTCGCAGTAGATAGCGCGAATCAACTTAACAGTGGTTAAGTGGTCAGTGGTTCGAATCCAGTACAGGCGTGATTTTTTTCAGGTCTAACTTTCGCTATTGCATAAATAGCGCATCATACATAAATATTTACAGAATAAGAAAGACATTGCCTGTCTACCTAAGGATACGATACTAGCCTCGTCCTGTTTTGTTGGCTGTTTCTGACTCGTTTGCTTCGCTCACCCATGAAATATACCGCCAGGGACTAGTTGTATAAATAATGATAATTGAACTGAGTGGAGTGCAAGTTGGGCTGAAATCATATGCGTGATTTGAAATCACAAGTATGATTTCAGGCCAAAATTGCACGACATGAGGTTCAATTACCACTTTATTACATCCATTTTGAAATCACCCAAATACAGGACTTGGTCAATTCCAATATTTTATTGATGCAGTACTGAGCCGGTTTTTAAATAAAAAGCGGAACCGGAAATGCTTCTACGTCTTATTTTGTATGCAAAACAGAAAGACTTTGATGTCATGTGTCAAAATCTCAGTCAAGCGTAAAATGATGCGATTGAGAGCAAAAAATGGTGCGATTCGCACCAATCTGATCACTGGGACCACCAGTAATTTCAAAATGGACGTAATGAAGGGCAGATAAAGCTATCCAACAGATGAATCGCTATCCAGGGATAAGAGATGGCAAATCGTACTGCGCTATCCACCGGATAAAGATTTAACCGGTGGAGAACGTAATCCAACCTTCAAACAACCGGGGCGAGAACTCGAAGTTAAAATTTGTATCAGTATAGTCCGCTAGGGGCAATAGATAATCTCATAAAAGTGTTCAGTTAAAGCTGAGTAGAAACTTTTTGTCAAATGATATTATTCATTGTCATAGCGTACTCACTAGGAAGCTGTTAACGGCTTAGGTCTGTGGTTTTGGATATATCACGAGTTGACGTTTTTCGATGACTGCACAGGTATTTGCGAGTATGACTCAAAGCTGTTTCTCTCAGCCTCTCTGTTTCACTGGATGCTTTTGATCCGTTAAAGTGATTACTGACATCTCCTCGATCAAGTTCATATGGAAGTACAAAGAGAGACATCAGGTCTCGATCATTTTTATCGGGATTTATCGTTCATAATATAATTTTTCTATTTTTCTACCCTTTTAACGTAATCTTCCATCAAACACGCCCTTGGTAGAGAACCTTGGTTATTCAATTTTTCTTTAATTCGAGGAGAAGCTTTGAAACGTGCACGTGAAATGCTTATTGTGGAATCAGTCGGCCATTATTGAGGCTCTCTTAGATTTAGGCACGCAAAGTGATTGGCCAAAAATAACTCTTCCGACAGAAATTCCGGCCATAGCCTACTGATAAACAAACACGATTAAAGTGTTGATATGTTTTGACTTTTTTTCGAAATGATATTGTAAACAAAACTAAAAAAAAGAAAGTGAACTACCAAATGGTGGGGTTATATGATACAATTTTTCGAAAGTTAAATCGCTAATCCCGCCGCTAAGGACTATGCAAGAATTTACATTCATTCATACCTTTCATTTCATACCATTCATACATTCATTCCCACGTGAACTCTTATGCCTGGAAGTAAATTAGTTTCAGCTAAATTAATCGGGTTTTTCTTACAAAACTGTTCAGTTCTTGAAACAAATTCTTGTAAAACAAGGGCTTTTGGGTTTGCCACAACTGGTGAATAATCAAAGAAGACTTGCTTCCAGGATTTTCATTACTTATGTTTACCGGTATTATAAACAAAATTTTCATGAATATTTTATTATTTGAGATTAGTATAGCTCCTCCATCTGATAAATCCTGCTACCAATTTCACATGACTAGTTTTTATTTTGCCGATAAATAGTCAGGATGTGCATGTCTCTTTCTTTACGAAAACACAAGATTTTGTGAATAAAAATTAAGGCACTATCATGAACAGAGAAAAAGTTTACGAAGAATATAATAAAAAATATTTTGTATTCAGTGTACGAATATAAGTCGCCGTATTTTTTTCTCTTGCCTTGATCTTTTCATCGAACAACTCTCTCCAAAAACTGTGAGTACAGAGAAATACAGCAAGACCAGAGACAAATGGAAGATGTTATATTCCCACCTGTGGAAAGGAAAATCTTTGCCATGTCTTATACAGCGCGCGGGACATAAAGTGTAAGTTGTGTACTGGATACACAGCACGGTAAATTTTCAGTGCTCTCTAGCTCAGCTACATCAACAAGTAAGAATTTGGTTTTGTTTTAGCATGAGCAAGAACAATTCTCACTTTCAATCTGATTTTGAAGAATCTCACCTTATGGAGCCGCGAGGTTTGAATATTTGGGAAAACGTTTCATAGATATCCAATTCGCATGAGGCCCGCCAGACCTTCGCGTGCAAATGGTAAAGTATAATAGAGAGTTTTTGATAACTTTGACAGCTGCAGACATGAAGACGTCGTTTAAGTGTTTCTAATCTTTGAAAAAATTCTCAGAATCATCGGGCAAGAAAATATAGTCGTGAAATATATCTTTAAATACGCAGAACTCTAATGAAAGTTTAGGGTTGTTATGAATATTTGTTCAACTGTCGCAATTTCAAGACTATCGTAGAAGTACGTTTTCTTGGATCATTGTTCAGTGTTTTTACACATACAGGTGTATTAACATATTAATATATTAAGACCTTGAACTTTCATTCGAATGCATTATATAAACTTTGAAAAATTTCCAGTTAGTTTATACCGCAAATTTAAATTCGGTTTCATATGCGCGATGTCGAATCCAAAGCCAGTGATCAAAATTTTGAATTTTAGGAAAAAGCTATTGTTAATAAGCAAACTCACGCTAAATCGTCACACTTCTGTACACTCGTGGCGATATCCTTTTTTCATATATAATATTTAGACGAATTTAGAGTGAACCAGAACTCTGCTTTTTCATTTGTTTTCGATATTAGAAGATTTTTCCAATATCAAACTAGCTTGACTCGATAAGCCTCAGTTATTAAGTTTGGCGTCCAAACTAAAAGTATCATGTGTAGAGGTTAGTTTATATTCATTTTTTATATGTAGAGATATATTTATTCAGTAGAACCAAATTAGAAATTACCCACTGGGTCAGTTTCGATTTTTTTTTCACCCTAAGGCAATATGCATATTCAGTACGACCATACGATGAGATAGCAGAAGTAACCGCTCTATATGGGTGGGTGCATTCAGACAAAAACAATCACATCTGAATTTCAGACTCTGTTAATGTCTTTTTTTTTTTAGCAAACTTGCAACTCAAACAAGAAGTTTTCCTATTCACTTAACAGAAGGGAAGCACGACTATGATTTTATCGAAACATATGCTTTCTTCCCAGTGTCGGAAACCCGGGATGACAGCTGAGATTACTTGAAAGACCTTCCCAAAAAAATTGTAATTTGTAGGTTACACGAATAACTCACCTACCCAAGAACCTTAGAAGAGGCTTTACTTACCGTTGCCTTGAATGCACAAAGGCATTTTTTTCGATAAAACTTGCGACAAGAGCATCACTTGGGAAATGGTATTTAGAAATTGAGAGACGAGACTCGGGTTTGTCCAAAACACAATTCAGTTAGTCGAGGATTGATGTAAATGTACGACTTTGTGACTTTAGGTACAATCAGCGTGTGTTTTAAGGATAATTCTGGGTGCTTCTGTGCTCAGATATTAAGATCAAGCTCCTAAATACCGTAACCCTGAGAGAGGTTTTCGCACAAAACAAACATCAACCAAGTTTATGTTATGATCATGCATGGATCAGGACTTTTTAAAGACTAAGTGGTGCATTTCTCACTTAAAACACGGTTTGAAAAGGCACCACAGGGACTCATTTTTTTATGGAAAAAAATAAAAAATCTGTTTTCTCTAGCTATATTAGCACTTGATTTTAATTAGAACTTTAAAACTTACTATCGGCTGCTTTGTCCTTCTCGAATGTTTCAAAGAATATTTGTCAATTCCAGGTTGTAATTACTTCAGGTGTTGAGTTCTTGTACTCCTCAAGAGAAAACTCTTTCTCGTCTGCAATTGAGAACAATTCCAACAGCTTAAAGTGGGTTTTGTTTCGCTGAATCACAGGGGTCCTGCAGCAAGTCCCAGAAAGCGTCGTATCTTTCGCCGTTTTTACTGCTATGTAGATGCTTTAATTTTTTTCTATTAAAATGACCCCAAGTTGTGTTGACTTAAGGTTTGTGTATTTGTGATTGGCTAATACAATTCATTTACATTCATGTCAATGCGTGGGTTTGAAACTCTAATTAATGTGGATAAACATAAAGCCGGGGAGCAGTTTTTTCTGGGAAAAACACTCAAACAAATTTGCTTTTGTCTAAATCGTCCCTAGGTGTTCATCTCCCTCCCATTCTAACGAAAAAGGGAAACTTCTTTAGAGTGATTTGTATTATTTTTATCAAGAAAATGTCAACTACGGGAGCAAAACTGAAATTATAATTCCATTCTTTTATTAACTATAATTGTGCCCCTGTACAATTATGGTCAGTTTTTTACTCAGTATGTGTTCTCCGTATACAATTGGCATATATCCGGCAAAGGAGATTATGGAAAACACTGAAGCATATTTTGAAGCTATAAGCACATATCGATCGTGTCGAGTTTTTGTTACCCTAAAGCGCATCATGCGTAATGAATAATTATGGTAGAGTCCCTTTTATGGAAGAAAATTACATACCAATAACCTAAGCCCCGGAACTGCGTGGCAGTCAACAATCTTGGTAAAAGGAAAAATTGTAAGTAAATCAGTTTATCTTATGACAGTATCATTTCCACAGTTATCTCCCTTCAGGTTTGAGACAACTAGTTTGTCAGAGTTTTCTTCGTTCATCTCCATCATTACTTTTGCCGATTCCTCGCGCGCACAATCGTTTTTCAATCAATTCAGAAATATTGAGCTTCACTTTTTAAGATGCATACACACAAATGTTATATCATTTCTCATTCATAAACAAATCTATGTAAACGTAACGTCTTTAACATAGAAATTATACAAAAGACAAGATTTTGATTATCCCTAAAACCATAACTTACCCACAATATAGTGCGAGGGCAAAACGTCAGTTCCTAAATTAATTGTCAATTTGAACGTAGACAAAGGGAATCATGAGCTTTTTCGTCTTAAAACTACAGTAAGGTAAGTGCAAGTGGCAATTAAGCACAAGCATCACGTTTACTCTGTATATGCGTCATAAGTATTAATATTTACATGTAGTACTAAATCACTTTGTACTGTACAACTTATGCTCTCCATTAGCATGGCCTCTTGGCCGGTGGCTTCTTGCTTTTATTTGATGCTTGGAACAGCATGTTAGAATCTTCTGTCGTCGTTTTGAATTGCAATTAACTCATTATTCCATTTGTTTAATTTTCAAAATGACATGGTATGATCAAGAAATACAAGTGAACATTTTAGTCCGAGGTTCCGTCGTTTTGGTACTAATATTGCTATTGCGCAAAACTTAAAGTTTACCCAAGTATGCAGCGCTTTAGCTTTTAAAATACTTATAGACAGTACTAATTACTTCTGACTCAGTAACTGAAATCTCCCCGGTGCATTTACATCTTGGCAGTGTCAGAAAATACGTGTGGTTAATTAGTTCTCAGACGAGCCTGACTTACTTAGCTGTTTTTAATATCATACATGTCCAATACACGCAAGTAGGTTCCAATGGAAAACGTGATCAGTTTCCGATGGAATAGGGAAAAATTATATTCGTAACATCTTCCCACGTCAGTAAGATAACCAGAAGTCAGGACGCGAAAGAGTTCTAACCCGTTTCTCACCGTTAACGTTAATTAGTAAGTAGCTTCTGCATAAATTTCACTTCTTTTCAAAGCATAGCGAGTATGAGTGCTTCTTGAGTGGTTACAACTTAGAAACGGTTCATTAAAAAAAAAAATGCTAGTGAGTGGTCTCTCCTATAATTTTCGAACTGACATTTGCCTTTCCTCGAAAAAATCCATTACATATGGGCTATTTTCATAAAGTGGCTTGAAGTGTAGGCCAAAGATAGTATCCAAAGTGTTTTTGTCCACACGGACGTGTAAGACCTGACTCTCTTCTGTAATTCTTTTGGGTCTCAAATAAATCTGGTTTTAGCAAATGAAGACCAGCCTAGCTATCAGTAATGTTTTTTTTTTTATTCTTATTTTTCTAAATCTTGGTGACAAGGACGACACAACTGAGGAATACTTCGAATGAAAGTGCTTGAATTTGGCATCCTTCAATTATTAATATTTGCATATCTATGTGCCATCATTTCAAGATCACGCTTCGGTCTAAAATACTGACTTCTCTGATTATTTTAAAATGTTTTTAGGGAAAGTATTACTTTTTGTAACTCTTTTTAAGTATCTGATAATTCTCAAAAAGGATTTCCTGATGCGATAAGCTGGATACGTTTTTATTCCCTTATCTATGTCACGAAACCATAACTGTATGCGCCGAGCAACAGACAGACCACCCTAAAACTGAGAAGCTTGGTTTAACACGGAGAAGAAAAAGCTTAAAATTTTCACACCACCGAGTATCTGTAAGGTTTAGATTTCCCAAAGAATAGTCTTTTCTTCCCTGTTTCAGCCAGCCTTATTACTGGATCATCCAAGTAAAATTGATTTCATTGTAAACGATATTTGCTTTCGTTTGCTTCTGCCTTGTCAGAAAGATTTCCCAGCGATTTGAGCGTAAGGGATTTTGAGCTTCTAAGATCAATTTTAAATGATTTTCATGGAACAATTGGCAAGAGTAAGAGTTGCCTAAGTCTATGTAACCGTCAAAATACGTTGAATTGAATAACGATTGTGAGTAAATATGGCGTAAAATCAGTTGTTTTTCACGCTTGTAAACTATAAAAAAAATACATGTTTTCAAATGGAAGAAAAACAGAGGAAATACCTTTGCCCCTCCTTGCAAACAGTTAAAAGATGATAAATTTTCCTTGAGGGTAAGACAGTGGTTTTTTTCTTTAAAACGTAAGCTGGAACAACTAGAAATGACAAAACAGATGTATGCCTTAAAAACCGACTTTGCAATTGAAATTTTCGCCTTTGCATGATGCAATTAGTAAGAGAGCGCATTTGGCATAAGTGCTTGCATTGTCTACAAAGACGAATGAGTTGATGAATTTTACGCCCCTCCCCAAACAACAGTTCGACCTGTTTTTGATTCAGCTAGCAAGTGGTACAAGTGTACTGTGAAGTGGCAAATTTGGCTTAATCAATGGGCAACTTACCAGCGTCCAATCCAGACGGAGAAGAAGCAATCTTCTTAGTCGCTTAATTTTAAGAAGGAATGAGCCGTGGCGGTAACATGGCTTGTATGATACATTCTTATGACGGGGTGAAAGAACTGGAGGGGAAATATTTGGCTCGAGTTCATGACCGAAGGCCAAATTTTTTCTTGTTTGCCCAACCTTACTCAGTCAGTAAGTATTTTACCATATGACCACCGTTCTTCCTTTCTCCTCAGTTTAGCTCGCATCTCACAGGACCACACGGCTTTTTACAACCCTGCTCACGTTGTCTTCTTCGGCTCCTACACGGAAATATTTGTCTAATTTTTTGCAATTATAGTGTGGCCTGGGCCTTACGGTTCATTGCTCGCTGAAAAGTTTTTTCCTTCTCTATAACATGTCAGTCAACTTTTTCGCACCTGTCTTTTCGCGCTTCGATAGCGTTTATTTCTCCATGATTTTAGGTCTCGGCTCTTTATTTTCATCAGTCGGCAATTTGGTTTCCGAATTTGCTCTCCGTGTTCTTCTGTGGCATACGAGATTTCCTTCCAACTCGAAATCAGGTTAAAATCTGAGGTGAGTCTTGATATTAAACGAAAACAATCCGAAAGTTATCCAAGAGGGGGGTGAATAGGCTAACGGATCGGCGGATTCTGAGAATTATTTTGCCCGGATTTCGGATTTAGAGCAAAATTTTAACGGATTTGCGGATCCTGAAATTGCAATGGTTCGCGGTTTCGTCGATTTTTTAGGTTCAGATTTTGGATTTTGCTTGTGAGGAAGTTCGGATCGTGAATCTGACCGTTCGTCAGAAATGCGTTGTTTTCTGAGTACTTTTTTTGTCACGGACGAGACTCTGTATGTCACACATCAGGGAAATAGTAGGGACCTTACGCAACCACGACGGCGACCGCAACGAGGACGTGGAAAAACAAGAGATCAAATTGGCAGAACAATAGCTCAGCACGTGCGTTTTGAAACTTTGTACATTTCTTAGCCGTCCTATGCAAAAAAACAACGTGAAATCGCCAAAATTTGCGTCGTCTGCGAACCGAAACCGCGCCGGTAAATTATTTTAATTTCCATTTGGAACTCAACACTACTTTTATACGTCATGCTGAAGTTGAGCTGTGGCGCCGTATAAGACGGTAAGCTCCTGAAACCATTTTTGAAATTCTAACTAAGAGTAGAAATTCATTTTTTAATCGAAGTCTTCCTTGGCGTTGCCGTCTTGAATGCGTAAGGTCCCTTGTAACGCACTGGGACGTCTGCTGTGTTCGCGCCCTTATCCATGACACTGTACCCCACCGATTGCGATTCGCTCGATGGGAAAGCCATTGCCTAGCTAACACACAACAGCTCAAGGTGCGTTTTCCACCTTTTTACGAGACAAGTAGCGAACGGATTCGGATTTAACAATATTTTTTAACGGATTGACGAATTTGGTTATCAAATCGTAGCGGATCGGCGGATTTGCATACCCTTATTCACCCCCCTCATCCAGGGAACGTTGTAATTACCACAACAAAGACAAATTACAGACAGCTGAAAAATGATAATCTGATCATTGTGTTTGGTTGCCTGGTTGCTGCGGATAGGAGGCGAGGTTATCTACATCATTAATTTTGTTTCTATGTGTGTAAATTTGCTCGAGATTTGAAGGAAAGTCAAATTCATAATCAAACAAGGATGCAACTTTGTTTTCGTTTACAAATGACTTGCATTAATTTAAAAACTCTCAAAGAAACTCGTTTAGTCAATTACTGATATGATTTTAAGGGAAATAGAAGTTCACTGGATCTGTGTCTCAATTTTTGTCACTTTGTGCGACTAACATGGAACCAGAAAATCGACGTTGGGCGCAAAATGCAGTCCTGAGTTGACAGAGGCAAAGAAGAAACCTTTGACTCTGTAAATCAGTAAAGTGAGAAAGACACGTTTCTTCTGAAGTAGCTATAGTTCTGAACTACAGTAATAGTATATCTTTTCCAAAACAAATTGCAGAGCAGTCTTGCTCAGGATGTATCGATCAACAACTGTGTTATTGCATTTCGTATTGGTTCTGTCTGTGTTGGTCGGTTATGTACATATCGCTTTCTTTTTAGTAAAAGGCCAGCAATTCGAGAAGGAAGGGTTTAAATCTATGATATAGATGTTAATTAAGCAAAATTTTAGATTTATATTGAAGGTCGCGAGGATATTGTGGAAATATTGTGGGGGATTGTAATGTCAGCCTTAGAACCTGGTTGAAATTATGACTGAAAAAAAATCAACTACAGCAAAAACCTGAAAAATGAGAGGGCAAAACATCCAATCGATTTTAAATACTTACTTGATAATGGTGATAACCAAAGGAAAAACTTTCCAACTTGATGACAAAGCAGGATTGTTTTCTTCAATTGGGATGAGGAGACAGAACTGAATCCAACTTATCTGTATGAAGATCAACGGAACTTTGCCATGTTAATGGTTGCCAACAGTTAATGCGAGTCTAGTTTTGCGCCCAAAGTCGAATGACTCAGCTCGAGGTGATAAGGACTCTTGCCCACGATTTCGACTAGTAAATTAAACTTGCCTCCAATTTAACTTAACGACTGAATGATTTTATCCGGTGCCATCTGACGGTAGATAACTGAACTATATTTCAAGCAATTTAATTACCGATAAGGAAACAGATATAAAATTGACACTTAAAGCTTTGCTTTCCACTTTTTTGACTTCTTTTAATTGAAAACCTTCGGATGAAATTAATTTACCAACTTAAAGGCGACAGTCAGGGGAAACTCAGGAAGAGTTTAACAAGTTTGATTGACAGTCTTTTGGACCTGTCAGACACATCTGTCACTTTAAAAGTTCCGTCTTGAATCATAGATTGATGTGAAAGCAGTGAAAACCTATTAGCTGAATTAGAAACGAGAGAAATTCGACCACAGCAAAAAGACGTAGGTTAGTGCAGTTTGTATAAACTAAGGTTAGTTATAAAATCGGCAAATTCTCTTCATTCACAAAACAATTAGTTCTTAAACCGGGTGAAATTATCAGTCAGGAAAAACAAGTAAATAAAACGACCTTTAGAATAAATCATTGTCAATACAAAATAAACCGCCCAGTTAGCCCAATGGATAGTGCGCTGGATTGTGTGGATTGTATGGATTTTGTGGAGGGTTCGAGCCCCGGCCGGACCAACACTCAAGGTCTTGAAATAATTGAAAAGAATTTGCTACCTTTCTATAAAATCAAGAAAAGGTTAGATATTCTAGTCTTCTCGGATAGGGACAAATAAATGGAGGTCCTGTCTCCTGCAGGGTTGGGGGCAGGAGACGTTAATTTCCCACACACGAGATTACTGTGTGATGGATGTCCTCCCCTGGGGTGGGATGGGTGGGTTTACTGGGACCGCTGTAATTGGCGCAAGCTGTTGCGGTGTCCTTGCCTGTCGGCGGATCTAATAAATAAAGAGACAGCTGTGGCCGTTCAAAGGAGACATGTCTCTTTTACATTTGTAATTTATAACCCATAAAGTTCCGATGATTGCTTCGGCTCCAATTAACTGTAGACATTACTGAAGATATCGCCAGTCACAAAAAGCTTCATTTTGAGGCTACAAATGCAACAAGGATTTCCTTATAGCCACGTTTCTTGCGTCCAAGGATCCTGATCAAATTTAGCTCATTGTTCCTTGCATGCGCCGTGGAATCAACTTTATATCTACAAATTTCATCTTTTATTTATTTTTGCTAGAAGCGGTACTCTCTCCGTGCATCCTTTCAGATGTCATTGCCACTTAGTATTTAGAATTTTTTATTATTATGTATTACTTCAATGATTTTTATGTACCGGTATACTCTTTTTACAATTTTGGGGATGATGATTTTGTTTTTGTGAAATTCTCACAGTGCATATACAAACAATACATCTAGGAAAACCCTTGTACAAATTTCGAAATTGAGATGGTAGGAATTAGTGAGAAACTAACCCAAGACAAAAAGGAAAGCATCAGTACGGATAGAGTCAGACTTAGGGACGGAGTGTTGTCTGGTTTCGGTTCTCGGACAATTTGTTGTTTTAAAACTGAGATATCCCAATTATTTTTATGAAAGAGTTTATTTGAAACTTTAATTGCTTATCACTTTAATGTCACATGCCTTATCTCCAGCTAAAACAAAGTGGTGTCTCAGCTGTTGTTTTTATTGGTACGCGTTGATAACTGTTAATTGTTCTCCAATTATCCTCTGCCTTCCTTAATGAGGCTCGATTTAGACGCCAGACTAAAAGGTAATTCAAATTTGGACCGACCCAAATTCGAAAAAAAGTACTTTGACTTGCTGATTCAACGAGCATCAACTTTGATTAGCCGTCATAGCTGTTTCCTATGCTTTTCCTGGAAAACTTTTTCCAAATAGTTTAGAATGATTAATGGATTTTGTTCGACACATCGAGCTGTTCTAAATTAAGCAATTTCATAGTTGAAATTCCTGGTCAAGTGAGGCGGGAAGAACTGTCGAACTATTCCTGATTGACGAAGCCGTTCTTTATCTATTTCACTTCGTCGCGGGTCTTCACTGAAGAATCTCAGCAAGAGATCTAATTTGTGCTCTTGTGCGTCTCTATTCGCATTTCAGAATTAGTCACCCCACGTGTTTCACTCCGGCTTGGGTCTGTAACAGACATTAAATCTATCTGATTCTTTTTCCACAGGCGAAGAATCTGTAAAAGAAAATCCACACAACAATTCTATTGCATTATAAGAGCGCTAGCCTGTCTTTTGTTTCAATATATCATTGGTGTTATTTTCGTTCTATGTTCAGTCCCAATTCTCTACTGGATTTGATTTTCAGAAAAAAAATCCTTTTCAAATTTCGACAGTGCTGTAAAAGAACAAGTCACAAAATAATTTTACATAGGACTCCCAATAAACGAAATCGTTTCCAACCACCGCAAATCAGTTTGTATCACATTTAATTACACATCAAATGTAACCCAGGACTTGTTTCAAGGCAACCTTTCTTGCATTCAAAACGCTCTTCATAACATTAAAGGTGAGGATAATTTAGAGCATCATCCTACCTCACCTGAAGATTGGAGCATGTTTCTTCTTACAGGGTGTGGTCAGGACCATTAAGCTACCTTTCTTTCTGTTACTGAAAACGTTTTCATTCATTTTCTTGAACAGTTCGCTATCCCCGTTTTTCTCCCAAACGACTCCCTTACAAATAAATATTTTGATAATGGTACGAGAGTGAACCCGAGAACCAAGTTATCATAAAGCAAACTGATCAAAGGATTATGAGATCTAAGTCAGACTCTTACTTTTGGTACAAATAACAGAGAAATTGTCGACGTGGTCCCCACCAACACGATACATCTTCCAACCAAAATTTGAAGGGGCGGATAGGTCACCACGAATTCAGTTACAATAGCTAAGCACGAAAACATAAATACATTGTAGACTGCTAAACCAATGTTCTTGGAGTCGTTCAGTGAAGGATAGGTAACATTTCTTGTCTCCCAAGCCAGGAAAACACCAAAAATTAATAGGATCCCTTTGAATCCGCAGATGGACATCACCCACGTCATGTAATACTTGGAAGTGCATTGATGATTCAGCAACTCCTCCTTGACGTCATCGTCATTATCTTCAGCCTGTGGAAGAAATCGTTGAAGCTATAAGTTAATAGGTGGACCAGGGCCCCATTTTATCCGTAGTGAAAGTGAAAGACAGTAGGCTAAATGTGAAAAAAATGTGTTTACCTCCTCGTCAATCATCTTGAGTTGAATCGTCAGTGGATCAATAGCTGCCCATGTTGACAGAATTATAACGTCTACAAACCAGCAAGCACATAACCTCAAGAAAAGACTGGTGTTGCTCAGCTTTCCGAGCTGTAAAGGTAAGATTGAAAACATGACTAACAAACATTGAAAACGTGACTAACAAACATTGAAAACGTGACTAACAAACATTGAAAACGTGACTAACAAACATTGAAAACGTGACTAACAAACATTGAAAACGTGACTAACAAACATTGAAAACGTGACTAACAAACATTGAAAACGTGACTAACAAACATTGAAAACGTGACTAACAAACATTGAAAACGTGACTAACAAACATTGAAAACGTGACTAACAAACATTGAAAACGTGACTAACAAACATTGAAAACGTGACTAACAAACATTGAAAACGTGACTAACAAACATTGAAAACGTGACTAACAAACATTGAAAACGTGACTAACAAACATTGAAAACGTGACTAACAAACATTGAAAACGTGACTAACAAACATTGAAAACGTGACTAACAAACATTGAAAACGTGACTAACAAACATTGAAAACGTGACTAACAAACATTGAAAACGTGACTAACAAACATTGAAAACGTGACTAACA